AGGCATACATGCAGGCAGAACATTGTATACATAATAAATAAAATCTTTAAAAAAAAAAATCGGGGCTGGAGAGATGGCTCAGCAGATAAGAACACTTGCTGCTCTTCTTTCAGAGGTCCTGAGTTCAATTCCCAGCACCCACACGGTGGCTCACAACCATCTGTAATGAGATCTGGTGCCCTTTTCTGTCCTGCAGATATACATGTAGAGCACTCATACATAAAATATAAATAAATAAATAAATATTAAAAAAATCTTTCTAAAAAAAAAGTACAGCATTTTATATACGGTTTGTAGGGGAGAAATGGGTCAAGGTCAGCAGAAAGCTAAATCAAGCAGTGTTGGCAGGGGACAAGGGACACCTCAGACACTGCTGCCTTAGGACTGATAAACACAGCACTCCAGGGAAGAGAGCAGGGTTCTCAGGAACCAAACCTTTGGAGGCCCAGCCCCAGATTGGACCTTGCCAAGTCTGCTCCTGGACCAGGCCACAGACCTAATGGTACCTTTGTCCTTTCACCAGGCCCTCTGAGAGCCTTGGATTGGTCTGGCACCCAACAGACTGCAACAAGGAAGAGAGGGAGAGCTTCCCGTGGTGTGGTGAGCTCCCTGAGGAGGCTGTGCCCACACTGCCCTTAGCGAGCGGTCTTAGCCGGGAAGCACTGGATTCTGTGAACTCCTGTGTGAAGATTTGCTCCAAAACTGAATTCCATCCTCTCCAGTGCCAGAGATGTGGTGGGCGCAAGTTAAGAGCCCAGGGGAGGCCCCTGAACAGTTAGGCTTCAGGTTCTGGTTTCTCATCCACAGTTTTTTTGGGGGGTCTCTTGAACTCTTAATTCTCTTGCCAAAGCCGCTAGACCACTGGGCCCAGAATATTATGTTCTTTCAAGAAGAGGTTGAGAGATCCTGCAGTCTGCCTGAGAGCTACAATAAAAAGTGGAAGAATGGGCTGCAGAGACCGCGTGAGTTCAATTCTCGGCAACCACATGGTGGCTCACAAACCCTCTGTAATGAAATCTGGTCTCTCTTCTGGCCTGCAGGCATACATGCAGACAGAACACTGAATACATAATAAGTAAATCTTAAAAAAAACAAAAACAAAAACAAAAAAAACCTAGGAAAACCACAGGTTACAAAAAAAAAAAAAAAAAAAAAAGTGGAAGGATCGCACATACCTTTAATCCCAGCACTTGGGAAAAAGAGGCAGACAAATCTCTGTAAATTTGAGACCAGTCGGGTCTACAGCCTTCCAGTCCAGGACAACCAGAACTACATAAAAAACCCTGCCCTTAAAAAAAAAAAAAAAAAAAAAAAAAAAGTGTTCTGACCTGAGTGATGGCGCAGGCCTTTATGCAACACTTGGGAGGCAGAGGCAGACAAAATCTGAGTTGTAGGCTAACCTGACCTGGTCTACAGAGCTGGTTCCAGGACAGCCAGGGCTACCCAGAGAGACTGTCTCGAAAAACAAACAATTCTATTGAGGAGAAATAGCAACAAGGACCCATTTATGCTTATGGAGCACTTTCAGGAAGGCAGGTACCACGTTTACAAATGAGGTTGAGGAGGGTTTTGCGACGTGTCCAAAGTACAAGTAAAAAGGGGAAGAGTGACTAGTGGAACTGCGCAGGCATGGGACTGTCTGTGGTGGAGCTGGGCCAAAGAGCTGTTCAAAGGATAAGCGATTACGCATGGGAGGAGGCGCTGAGGATAAGCGATCGCGCCTAAGGGGCTGGCACCCTGGGCGGCGAGCATGCTGCCGGGATCCTCCGCCCTCCCTGCTTACGTGCGCTCCGTGACCGCCGGGACGCACGCGGGTACCGCTACACAGAACGCATGCGCACTGCCGCCCCGCGCACTCCTTGCCCCTCCCTCGCGGGCCGCAGAAGTTGCTTGGGGCGCATGCGCACACCTGACGGGCGGAGG